GGGGGGCTCACTTGATAGGGTGCCGAAAGGCAAATCCGTTCCCATCCCCATTCCCCTTCCCTGATCCCCCCTTACCCACTCACCTCATCCCCTTCCCCTCTTCTCATCCTCAGCACGACGCATATTCTCCTCAGGGATCGCCCATAAATTGCCAGGCATTTGTTTAGTTCGCACCAACGAATCTCTGCCGGGGGAGGGCGGGCCAGGCTAGCAGCCCGCCGGCAGGCGAGCAGAGTTTCACTAACAACCGAAGATCGGGCAAGGGTAAGCCGGGGGCGGGTCGGGCCGGCCCAGAGGTCATCCTGCCCTAGGGGTAGAAAAAACTAGAGCCTGGTGAACAAGCGGCAGTGTCGGGTCATGCACGCGAGGCGGACACACGTACCTCTACGGAAACATTTCCAGACACTGCGCTCCGGACAGACTAAGAATCTCGCCTCTTACCCCCCACAGCGGCAGCCACCACCCCGAGTGCCTGGGATAGCGGCGCTGTAAGGGACTCTGCGTGGGCCCAGCACGCCAGGTTCATATCGACAAGAGAATTTTGGGGGAAATCTGCTGGAGCCATTCCTTTACTGAAGGCGCCGAGCTCAGACGAATTCCAGAGAGCAGCGGGAACTAGGGGGAAAGGGGTGAGTTTTTCACGCGTTTCCCCGGGAGACGCACCAAAGTACCCCGCAACTCAGAATCTAGCAAAACAAACAAAAAAAGGAGTGAAAGACTGAAAGACTGGAACTGTACTATGAACCGCCCGACTTTTTGTGAGGGTATCCCCTACAGTTGCAGTTTTCAAAACTGTTTTGATCTCGACCGAACACTGGAGAAACTAATGTGATATCTGTCATGATATCTGGTATGTCGCGCGTGGTATGGCCGTAGTTTTGGTGACGTTTATGGTGTGGCCACCTATGTATTCTGCGGCATGTGACACTCAGGCAAAATTTGGTCGCTATTCGTCACCTACATATATAAGAAGCAAATATACCGAGTTTGGGCACGATCGGCAATTTACACCTGCCTTAGTCCCCTTGTCAGGTCACATTAGATGGTTCGATCAAAACGGGTCACACGTCACACGAATTGATGTGACAAAGGTCATATTAGTTTTTCTAGCGAATTAGAGATGCTGTGCAAATCTAACTATATAACAAGAGGACAGTTTGAACTTCAAAACCAAATGTATTACAGTTTAAACTGCGAAACTAAAAAGTTCTACTGTTTAAACTGCAAAACTGTGTATTTCAACGGTTTCAACTGCATAGGGTTAGTTAGACAGTTGAACTTGACTGTTGAACTTCACATTTTGGAAGTTAAAACTGTGAAACTTTTCAGTTTCGCAGTTTAACTGAAAGACTTTTAGATAAGCAGTTTAACCAGCAAAACTTTTGGTTTTGCAGTGATCTCGTTCTACTGTTAGTTTTGCAGATCGTGGTTTGTTATACTTCACTCTGATAAAAGTATGGAACCGGAAAGTCACGCGTTGCTAAAGGCGATGTCATGCCTTGATAGAGGTCCTAACATTTCCACTAATATTTACAGGTAATACAATTATTGACGTCCATAAACACCCTAGATGAAATCCTAGCTGCAGTTTACTGATAAATTTGAAGGTCCGACTGAAGGAACTGACTTTACCCGCTTTTAACTGATCGACCTGATATTACCCGATTTTACCCGCTCTTACATGAGGTTACAAATTTTTAGTCATCATCTACCGGAGCGGAGGAGCGACTACTTTTCAGCCACCTTCAGTTAAAATTAAGTTAATATCAGCTAGAGTCGAGGACTGATTTTTTCCTGCCATTTCATGAGATCGAACTGAGCAGTGGCTTTTGTGCACCTTGGCTTAGGCTGCGATCAGCTGAAGGTCACTTTAGGTAAGATCAGCTAGAGAGGATCAATTAACAGTCAAAATCCGGGACTGAATCATGTTGATAGTCAACTGAATTTTGCTGTAAGACATGCGGACCGTGGATCAGCTAGACTGCAGCTTTCTTCAGTCCTTATTTTCGACTGATTAAACGTTGTGGTTTTACTGATGTTTGTAAAGACCGCCAACCAGAAAGATCAGCCCTTTCGCATTTTATTTCAGATGTGAGCGGCACACTGACAACAACAGCTGTACTACTGAAATTAGTAATGTATTCACCGGCCAGTCAGACACTGATAAAATTCAGTCTAATTCAGTCGGGACAGGGAGGATTGAAGTAAACTGAAACGAACTGGCGGCAAAATATCTAGAAGCTGCGCTGGATTCAGTTGCGTTTCAGTCCGATTCAGGTAATCTAGCTAAAAGACACACAAACGCAGCTAAACTCAGTCGGTATCATCAGCCACATTCAGTTCGCTTTAAGGTAGAAGCGAGGTGCATATTTTTAGCTGAAAACAGATCAGCAAAGTTTAAAATAAAATCGGATAAGGTCAGTAAAAAAACGAAAAAATCGATGTATCCTCAGTTAAATGCGGCTATTGGCAGTTCACTTCAGTTAGACTTTCTGTTAAGTTCAGTTGAGGTTTGACTAACGTCAGCCAGAATTTCATCTAGGGCAAGCGCTTTAGTCTCATACCTTTGCCGTTACCAGTGTGAAGACGCCACTGGGGCCGACATAACCATGCACCTGTATAGTCCGTGACACGCCCTCACCCCCGACTCCCTTACCGCCTGTAACGTACCTTTTTCTGCTCCGAAGCTTCTTCCGGAAGAGTGGCCCCTCCCCACCCTGCTATGAGCATTCCACCGGGCACGGCCAACCACATCCGGCTGTGTAACAAAGCGTTTGGATGCGCACACTGACGCGACATGCAGGCCCATGTGCTGCCACCAACAGGAGCTGCAGAAAGAAAAGTGTTAAGTCACGGCTTCAAAATATGCTTCAGAATTTAGTGGCTCTAAAATAACGTATGTCTACGCATGGAGGTCCATAGTAGATGCCTTCATTGCTACCATCAAGACGGTCTAAAAGAAGTCATGGTAGACGTTTGTTTAATAATTTTACGTCTTAGCAGTAGATGACTTTTAAACATCTATACATGACTGTTAAAACAGTCGTCGAATTTTTCTGAGGGAATTTTCGGATCTCAATCACTTTTTGTATTGGAGAGGTAAAGACTTGGTGTAAAAGCTTCAATGTGAAGAACCTGCGGCGGGGTGGCAAATGTCGGTCTGGGCCATGCAGTGCCTGGAGTGCCTGTCAAAACGAGCTTGATTGCAGCCAAAATTTTTCTCACAGTCGCTAGCTACGTTGGTATGCCTTTTTTAAAGCCCTCCGGACACGCCCTTACTGCACAGGATCTCGCGCCGTGGGTGTCTGGGACTTAATCTGCAACAAAAGCATCGCGTTAGAACACCCGGAAACAGCAGAAAAGAGACACTTGCCATCATCCGCACGAACATGCACGATGTAGGAAGCGGAAAATAGACCCTGCATTAAGTAAAACGCAATTATTAATTCAACTTGTTGCACAAAGGAACATGTTTGCGGTTTTATTTTTTGATTAAGTGATTACAATCATATCTATTCCTGAAACACAATGGCAAACACTAAATAACCGACTAGACTGTCGTAAACATTTTGTCTTATCAAAAATCTATAAATAATACACTAAAACTTAAGAGACTCAAGGTGTGAGTAGCCAACTGCATGAAAAGCGAAAGATTTACAGATCTGCGGCAGCACAGTGTGTTTTCTCGTGACGACAAAACATGGATTTGGTGCGAAAACGCTGTTTACAAATGTCACATGCAAATGGTTTTTCGCCAGTGTGGATCCTGACGTGGGAGTCAAGGATATTTTTCTGGATGAAACGCCTGTTACAAATGTAACATTCAAATGGTTTCTCGCCAGTGTGGGTCCTGATGTGGGCTTCAAGGTTGCGTTTATGGTTGAAACGCCTTTTACAAGTGTCACATTCATACGGTTTCTCGCCAGTGTGCGTCCTGGCGTGGTATTCAAGCCTGCATTTATGGGAAAAGCGCTTATTACAAGTGTCACATTGGTATGGTTTCTCCTCGCCAGTGTGGGCCCTGACGTGGCGTTGAAGTGTGCATTCTTGGGAAAAACGCATATTACAAGTGTCACATTCATATGTGCCATTGTGGGTCCTCAGGTGAGCATTAAGATTCCCTTGTAAGGCAAACCGCTTGTTACAAATGTCGCATTTATATGGTTTCTCGCCAGTGTGCGTCCTGGCGTGGTATTCAAGCTTGCATTTATAGAAAAAGCGCTTATTACAAGTGTCACATTGGTATGGTTTCTCCACGCCAGTGTGGGCCCTGACGTGGCGTTTAAGAGTGCACTTTTGGGAAAAACGCATATTACAAGTGTCACATTCAAATGTGCCATTGTGGGTCTTCACGTGGGCATTTAGGTTACCTTTTAGGGAAAACCGCTTACTACAAACATCACATTTATACGGTTTCTCGCCAGTGTGTGTCTTGGTGTGCCTATCAAAAAGACTTTTGTGGGTAAAGTTCTTCTTGCATACACCACACTGGAACGCCCTTTCCCCACTTCGGACAAGCTTTTTCCGCAACGGATCTCTCTGCTGCTCCCCGTCGGGATCCTCTTGGTCTCCAGAGCCACTCCTGTCCACGGCGGCGTCTCCTCTACGAGGCGACCCCTGTCTGCACTCCTCGGGCTGCTGCTCGAAGGCTCCGTCTTCCTCGTGTCCTTCTCCGTCACTGCTCGCATCATCCTCCGCGCGGTGGAGAGAGTAGCACCCGGTCACCACCAGCCCCAGCTGATCGCCGTCGCCTCCGTATATATCGTCCTCAAGCACGGCGATCTTGCAACCGGCGACATCCACATACGGTTCAAAAATCGGGTCTGCAACAAGAGCATCGCATTAGATCACTCGAGAGAGCAGATAGGAAGTTGCCATAACCAGCATTCACGTGCACGATGCAGGAAGCTTCATGTTCGAAGCGCGGAAGCGAAAATTCGACGCTGCCCCAATTATTTATTGAACCATCATGCATCTAACTACTCGCAACGTGTAATTGGAAATAGGAAAGTGCAGCTTTGTGGTTTTATTTCTGATTACAAAATAACAATTATATCGTTTTCTGAAACTCAACCCTAACACCATCCGACCGACGAGATACTAGAATGGCGTAAACATGTTGTCGGCCTCAATGAAAAAAAGAAGGAAACATTAAAATTTAAAACTCAAAATAACACATTTAAGCATAAAACACAAAATAACACATTTAAGCACAATTTAGTCGGAAGTTGCCACTTGAAATATAACCAAATAAAAACAGATCTGCAGCAATACAGCGCGTTTTCTCATGGAAAAATAGGATTTGAGACGAAAATGTTGTTAACAAATGCCACATTCAAATGGTTTTTCACCAGTGTGAATCTCGACGTGGCAATCAAGCGTACATTTTTGGGAAAAGTGCCTATTACAAATGTAACATTCAAATGGTTTCTCGCCAGTGTGGGTCCTGACGTAGACTACAAGGTGGCGTGTTTGGCGAACACAGTTTTTGTAAACGTTGTGTCAGCCTTGATAAAACAAATGAAAAACTCGAGAAAACTAATATATACTCCATAATAATTAGCGGAATTATTGGCCTCTTGAATTATAACCAAACGTTTACAGATCCGCAGCGGTACAGCAGTGTGTTTTCTCGTGACGACGCAAATTGAACTTTTTAATAAAACGCTGTTTACAAATGTCACATTCAAATGGTTTCTCGCCGGTGTGAATGTTTATGTGATCAACAAGGCTTTTTTTCTGAGTAAAACGCCTCTGGCAAAGATGGCATTTAAATGGTTTCTCGCCAGTGTGGGTCCTGGCGTGCCTCTCAAACTGAGTTTTATGGTTATAGTGCTTCTTGCATTCACCACACTGGTACGTCTTTTTCCCACTTCGCACACGCTTTTCCTGCGCACGATCTCTCTGCTGCTCTCCGTCGGCCTCCTCTTGGTTCAAAGTTATACTACTTCTGTCCTCGGCCGCGTCTCCAGCACAAGGCGAACCCTGTCCGCCGTTCTCGGGTTGCTGCGCGAGGTACTCATCGCCTTCGTGTTCACCGTCACTGCTCGCGTCTTCCTCCGTGCGGTGGAGCGAGTACCACCCAGTCACCGCCAGCCCCAGGTAATCGCCGTCGCCCCCGTCTGCACCGTCCTCTAGCACGGCGATCTTGTGCTCCACGACTTCCACATCAGACTCACAGACTGGATCGGTTGGCTGGGGACGGCGGACGGTCTGCTTCAGTTCCGCTCGTGTCCCGGATTCTACGTCTGCAACAAGAGCATCGCGTTAGGTAACTCGGGAGAGCAGCTGAGAGGGGTTGGCCATCCCCAGCACGCACGTACACGAGGCTGTCGTAAACGTTATGTCGGCTTTAACTAAAAGCAAAACTAATAACACACAATAAAATAAAACTGAAGCTTAAGTCATGCACCAGCATTCACGCCAACGATTCAGGCTCCCTATGAAACATGGTGTAAAGTGTGGGAAGCGAAAAATCGACCCTGCACCAATTAAGTATGCGTAATGATTACACTAACTACTTGGCCAAATTACAATCTTAGTGTACGGAGAAACACAACACAAAAACAATATGGTGGACGAGGCAGTCGTCAACTTTACCACGGAATTGATGAAACAAAACTGAAACTCAAAGATACGATACAAAAGTTAATACGCTGAAGTACAATTCAAATGTCACCCGGTAAAAGAAAGTTTCTTGAATTTCAAGCCGGATCGGTTGGCTGCGGACAGCGGGTGGTCTGCCTCAACTCCGCCGGTGGCCGGACTCTCCGTCTGCAACAAGAGTATCGTGTTAAAACAACACGCGAAAATTAAAACTGCTAAAGGCATTCTTCTTTCTTAGCTCGCTTTCGGCTTGCCTTTTCCGAGGGGGCCACCACGAGGCCACCACTTTGATTTAGAATATACACAGGATAACGTGATTACAGGGATTACACGTGAATTTTGAGGGATTACACGTGAATTTTGAGGGATTACACGTGAATTTTGAGGGATTACACTTGAGTTTTGTTGAATTTCTGGCTCTAAAACCATTCAATTAGGACAATCAGGTGAAATTTAGCTATAATGTTTTAAAATTTGGTGAAGTATTACTCGGAATACAAAAGGATTGGAGATTCACCCTTATCTGTACACAGGATTACGCGAGTGGTGGCCCCCTCGGCCTTTTGAGTCATGAAAAATCAAAAACCTTTAGCACCCTTGCAAATGTGCCCATTTAACACCCACTAACCACTGTGAAAAATATCTTCGTAAATTTACATTTGTTGGAATTTTGATTTAAAAAATATGTCGTAAATTTACGACAGTCAATTCCAAGTCGATATGGGGTGCTTGTAAATTTACAATCTCAAATTGTAATTTTACGACTTTTATCATGAAAATTTTTTCCGTAACACTTCCGAGTATTTCTCACAGTGCCTTACACACACTGCCCTACACTGTAAAAAAATAAGAGTCTAATACGAAACGATCCACGGCGTTACTGTAGATGCCGCTCTTAGTCATTGCACAAGGGTACTCTGAAAACTCAACAGTAATCATGGTATGATTGCTATCAGCAATCATCAATGATCACGTTTATGTTTTTGGCTAATATTTCCTTTTAGACGGATATCATCGGAGAGTGGATGGCATTTGTAGATTCCTCGAGATAAAAGCTTTCACACGAGCTACTGTGTGATGGGATTCAAAACGACCGCTACCATAACTTGGCCAGGTAATGTAATTACAATACCGACATTTACGAGAGCCGGACCATTTCGGTAGAGGACCCTATCGTTTGGGAGCTTTTCGTTTTGAAAGAAGGCCAACTTTTGGCAAATAAGGACGCCAAAAATTAGCAGCTCCAAAAAGACGACCAAATTTTGGCAAGGAAAGGAGGCCAAAAATTGGCAGCCTCCAAAAAGACGGCCAAAATTTTGCAATCAAAAAGGACCGCCACCTTTTTGGCACACACACCACGATGTTATCATTGCACAGTGTAAGAAAACGGCTCCACTGTAGAAGATAGTTCTTCCTGCACGGTGGCCGTGTACATTGCTCTCCGTACCAAATTTTAACCATTGAAACTACAACCATACTGTTTTTCTGTATTTTTCTGTTTTTCTAATAGTGTATTTCGACTAACACAGGAAGAAGAAGAGCGGGTAGAACATAAACGCTACCGCGTCCGGTCTCTACGTCACGCCGGTAGTGGGGGCAAGCGCTTGGCCAACCATGAACCTTTACATTCTATCCGATATTCTTCTTCCTCCGTTAGTCGAAATAGAGTATAACATAGATGTTGCTGAAATATAATTGGCAGTTGATGCTGTCATTTTTCCTATCATACTTGTTTGCAGTGTACCAGAGTCCTGTACTCATTAAGTGGCATTGTGAGTGTACGACACAAAACTGAAGCCCAATAAGTGTTGGTTGTTTAAGTGGGGCCACCTCGCTTCCAGCGTCAGGCGTCAGAGGCATGACGTCACAGCGATGACTTTTAGCTTATATGCAGATACTACGAAGGGGATTGAGGGAGGGCCGAGAGCTGAGGAGAAAGGCAAAAGACGAGAGAGCGTGAGGAGAATTGGGGGGGGGGAGGGGAGGGGGGTGCTGCCCTCACCGATTCAAATGCAAATTGTCTGGAATTGAGAGGGCATCGCCGTCGTTGTATTCGGATTAAAAGCCGCCTCGTCTGCGTTTGTCGGTCCCTAGGGAGGCAATTCCGCACCTCTCTCCTCCCACCTCCCCCGCAGGGGGTGATGTGGGCCCTACTCATGGCGACAGACAGACGCTGCCGGGGAATTGAATAAACTCCGATAGCAACCCGGCGGCCAGCCTTGCCATTCAAGAGGTGAAAATCTGCTCGCCTCCTTTATTGGAGCGCGGCTCGACTCGCCCCCCGCTCTTGCAATCTCCTTCTTCACTTTGACGCGGCGGTCAGAGAGAATAATGGGGAGGAGAAAAATGGTACCGCAAGAGCAGCGTTTCTCTTTGAATCACAGCGGCTAAATATCACAAACACATCACTGTGAAAAAAGTAGGTAGGTTTACAGGAAAATTTTCCTTGACGCAAGTTGTAAAATAACAATTTGTAATCGTAAAATACATGCAGTATGTATCGACTTCAAATCCCTTGGCGGGTAAAAAAATGTGCTGTCGTAAATTTTGAACTTAAATTTTAATTCAAGTTTACAAAATTTTTGTAAATTTACGACGATATTTTTCACAGTGATTGATATTTCCAAAAGAGCAAAATTTTGCTGCTGGATCTGAGTAGGGGAGGGGAGAATCAGGGCGAGTTAGGGAGAGGTGGATGTGAGGGAGAAGCGGAAAAGAAAAGGGGGAGGGTTGTTAGGAACACACTTTCGATTATGTATCGCTGGGATGGGAAAAGAATGGAGAACAAGACTTGCCTGCGGCAGTGCGACCCCCTTCACCGGCCCACTAC